AGCCAGGGAGACAGCATCATCCACTGATCTGTTGTTCTGGTAGGTGAACTGCAAGGGGTCCAGGGACTCTGTGATGGAGGAGTTGATGTGTGACAACACCAGCTTCTCCAGGCATTTCATCACCAGTGGCATTTGTATAACATTATTAGTACAGTAAATCTTATTTTAATCAAAATTAAGTATGTATTAACTCGTTAGTGCTTTTCTGCACTCACCGATTGATAACACTAACAGATGGGAAAGCTTAACAGCTCATGTGCAGCATTTGGGCTGTCAGTAGAAACCTCCAGGCTTCAAATCCTGGTCAATGCTGGGGGACAGTCTTGTTCCAATTACAGAATTTATGTTGTATAATGTTTAGACTTTTAATCATTTTAAACTGTGCATTACAGCATGTTTAACATTTAACTCATTAAAAAGTAGGTATATTTTATAAAAGCAAGATTGCTCAGTTGGACAAAAGTACACAACCTTCCACCTTCTTAAATTCATAAATATTTTAATTATGCATAAATATTTTACGCATCAAAGTCTTTAACTGGGTGACTTACAGTGGGTTGTGGTTTTCATGTGCTTGTTCTAACATTATAAACCTTATATTCTGTACTTCATAAAATGTTATAACATTTTAGCCTTTTCTAAGAATTTGTAGAAAGAACACCACTTGGTGTTATTGTAAGCTGTACTTTAATACCACTTGATAGTAATATTAATATGGAATCGTGTAACCCGATCAGAGAATTACTTTCGGTTTGTTTCTTACATAGCCGAATACATAAAAATCGTCCATTATACAGTAGGTTGTTGTTGGCTCCTGTGTGAGCATGTGTATCTGGATGAGTTATTATAAGTGATGGTTTCGTGATTAATTCATGATTAGGATTTCTTTGCAGAATTCTTTAAGTTAAACAAAGGAGGGAAGAAGGGTTATTTTTACAATTGCCAGTAACCAAAGGGGGTGCCGGTATTTTGATTTTCCTGCGTGAACCATGTTCGCTACAATATTATTAATGAGTCCCTGAGGCATATCTTACAAGTTTCAGAATTATAAAAAATAATCCTCTGTAGAGTTTGCACAAGAAACAAAAGGTACATTTTGAGAAGTCGTGTACTGCTTGCAAAGTAGATGATTTTGACAAACAGCTAATTTTGGTTGAAGAATTTAAAATCTGTCTGTACTATAACTTTATTTAATTGAGCAGAAAGTCACCTTGCTCTTACAAGCGGTTCTGTTAAGCAGAGTTTGTGTTGAATGAGTTTTTATCACCTTTGTCTGTCCTGGGTGGGGTGTTAGGGAAGAGTGATGGAGAGTGAAATAAATGACCACCAGCACACCAGCATTTTCGCTTCTCCCTGGTGCGAAATGACAATGTGCTGGCTGGCACCGAGCAATCCTTTTCAAGCTCTTTCAGAACATCTTGGAGATGGTCTGGAGGTTGATTTGTTATTATATTATTATTCACATTAATATTAATATTTGATATGTACAATTATCAGAAATATGAATACAGTTTGCATAGTATTTTATTGTGAGAGCAATTACAGCAGATATTTCACACCTGAAAACATGTTTTTTTTATTTAACTGGGAGTGTGAACATTGAATGATCACTGGGGAGCACTGTGAGATTAACTCAATAAAATTGTATCCAGCTGTGAATCAGCTACATGACGTTGCCCCCGTTAAGTTTTTGGGAAAGGGGTTTAGTAGGCAGTGTTACTCACAGTTTAGTGCCCATAGAGTGTTAGTTTTAATACACTGTATAACAGTGTATTACTATAATCTTGCAAGTACACTTGTTTGTAATTGCTATTCTTACAAATACATTTTGTATTGTTATTCTGTTTGTGTCTCCGTGTTAGTTGGTGGGCAAACGTTCGAGATGAAAATTCTTCCACGAGGAGGGTACCTTTAAAGCAGAAAAGCCGGCACCAAAATGTTTCATTTTAGTCTTTGGCATTTTAGTCATAGAGGTGAGAAGACGCCTCCCCCCTCCTCCTTTCCTCTGGCTACCTGACTTGTCCCCAAATTTTAATCATTCTGTGTCCAAATTGGAGCAGGTGAGAGAGAGTAGGAAGAAACACAGACAGAAAAAAGTGAATCCTGGCTTAATTATAAATTATATTTTACCTTTGAAGAAACATATAAGATGTGAAGAAGGGGTTAACTAATTCCTTTCTGCACAAAGACTTCTTGTGACAAAAGACATTCCAGGCTTTGAGTTACGGCAGGAATTACTGATAAGAATTCGAGATGCCAGCTAGAAACCCCCCCTCCCAAACTAAGGAAACCTAAAACCAACCATTAAGAGTGATCAAAGTCTGGGAACTGTCCGAACACCGTGACCTCTCCCCATTACCATGGTAACAACTATGTCAGAAGCAGCCAAAATGTGCTATATAAACTGGAAGTTTGGTACCTGTATTTCAAACAATACTTCGGTCTTATTGTTCTTTGCATGCAATAACACTCAGTTGTTTAAACTTCATCTCGGGATCCAGAACTTATTTGTCTGTTACAACACCTTCATTTTTGTACTTTATAAGTTTGTATTTTACTTATTTTCTGAAAGTCAGATTTAATGTATATATGAACAAAGTCTTGTAAATGTTAATGTTTTTACAACATCTGGAAGAAGTGCAAAAATGTATGTGCAATTTTTTTATATTTACAGTGCAAATTTTACATTTTATTGATTACTAATAGTTTATGCTAACACCTGACTTTCTTATTTAGATGTACATAAAATATTGAACTAAGTGTGACATAACATTCAGAAATACAATTAAGAAGAGTATGTGGTATTTGTATAGATTAAACTTTTCTAAAATGGATAAAAAACTAAAAACTATTAAAATGTATAATGTTTCCACATGTAATAATAATAATAATAATAATAATAATAATAATAATAATAATAATAATAATAATAATAATAATAATAATAAACGTTATTTTATATAGTGCCTTTAAAGGTGGCTTCTCAAAGTGCTTTACAGAATGACAACAACAATAAATAAAAAGAATACACAAGATAAAACAATTTACAATATACAGAGGAGACCGTGAATGGTGGTACTAAGAAAAGCAGAGGAGTGAAGAATGGAACCAGTTAAGTAAAGGATTTTCTAACGAAGAGGGTTTTGAGTCTGGATTTGAAGGAGTTTAGAGAAGGTGATTCTCTGATATCCTTGGGGAGAGAGTTCCAGGGCTTGGGGGCATAACAGGAGAATGCCCTGTCACCCATACAATGTAGATGGGCTTGGGGGACAGTAAGGAGAGCAGAATTAGAAGAGCGAAGCTTGCGAGGTAGGGAGTAGGGTGATGATAGTTCAGACAGTTACTGAGGTGCCAAGCCATGCGGAGCCTTATAGGTGAGCATGAGGATTTTAAAGTCTACATGGAATTTGACCGGAAGCCAGTACAAGGACTCCAGGATAGGAGTAATGTGATCATTTGCACTAGACCTGGTCAGGATTCTTGCTGTTGGATTTTGGAGATACTGCAGTTTGTTCAAAGTAGATTTAGATACCCCATTGAGTAGAGCATTACAGTAGTCAATTGGAGAGAACACAAATGTGTTGATCAGCTTTTCAGCCACAGAAAGTGATAGCATAGGGCATAGTCTAGCGATATTTCTGAGGTGAAAAAAAGATGTTTTGACAATATGCTGCACATGTGAGTTGAATGTTAAGCCAGAATCAAATACTGTATAACCCCAAGGTTTTTCAATTTAGATTGAAGCTCAAGTACAGAACCATCTACAGATAGGGCTACAGGACTGGCTTTACGAAGTTGATGGGGGGTGCCAATAAGCATGACTTCAGTCTTGTCACAGTTAAGATGAAGGAAATTTTGAGTCATCCAAATTTTTATGTCAGAGATGCAATTAGATAGAATAGAGACAGCCACATCAGTGTTTGGTATGGATGTATATTTGAGTATCGTCAGCATAGAAATGAAAGCTGAGGCCATGTGATCTTAAAAGCTGACCAAATGGAAACATGTAAATGCTGAAGAGCAAGGGGCCCAGTATTGAGCCCTGAGGAACACCAGACTTAACAAGACCAATCTCAGACCTATACCCATTAAGAGAGACAAAGTGACAGCGATAAGTGAGGTAAGATTTGAACCATTTGAGAGCAGTGTCAGAGACTCCAAACACAGTCTCAAGACAAGAAAATAAGATGTCATGGTCAACAGTGTTAAAGGCAGCACTGAGATCAAGAAGGATGAGTATGGAGAGAATCAGAATCAGAAGCTATTAGAAGATCGTTTGTGACTTTGACCAGGGCGGTTCCTGTGCTGTGAAGTTGACGGAAGCCAGATTGGAGAGGTTCGAAAAGGTTGATTGTCATGAGGTGGTTATGTAACTGAAGTGTGACAGCACGTTCTAGATTTTTTGCAAGAAAAGGTAAGTCGGAGATGGGGCAGAAATTGTTAAGGTTGTCGAGAGCCATGTTAGGCTTTTTTGACACGGGGGTAATGGCAGCAGTTTTAAGGACCGTTGGTACAATGCCAGTGCTCATGGTTTCATGTATAATATTGAGGACAATGGGAGAGAATAGAGAAGAAAAACAGGACTGAAATAAAGTGGTGGGAATGGGATCTAAAATAGATGTGGTGGGTTTCATGCGTGTAACTAGTTTATTGAGGGATGCTGAGTCAAGAAGAGAGACGCTAGAGAGAAAGGAACCAGAGAAGTTGGATGAGGAGGGAGGAGGTATGGAAATGATATGTGTAGTGGAGAGAATGTGATGCTGGATGTTGTCAATCCTAGAACTAAAGAAATCTAAGAATGTGTTGCAAAGTTGCGGTGAGGCAGGTAATATGGTTGGGGAAGTTTTGCTTGAGCAGTCTGTAGATGGTGGAGAAAAGATGTCTGGGGTTGCTTTGGTGATTTTCAATGTGAAGAGAAGTAGGCGGATCTAGCAGGCTCTATAGTAACCGTATATTCAGACAAGTAATCTCTCCAATCCTGATAATGTACATTTAGGCCAGAAAGACGCCACCTATGCTCAAGTTTGCAAGAGGCTGCCTTCATGGATCACAGATGGTTGTTGTACCAGGGAGCAGGGCGAGAGAAGGAAATGGTTCAAGTTTTTAAAGGAGCAAGGGTGTTAAGGGTAGAGCACTTTTAAGTAACTGTATTTTGTCCTCTAGAGGGTCAGAGGAAGAGAAACAAGATAAGGAGGACAGAACAGAATTTGCAAACCTTGGGTGATCAATTGATTGCCAGTTGCAGAAATTTACAGAGCATGGGGGGGAGTGTTAGAAACAGTGTATGATGTCATTAGGAAGTACAATAAGCATCTGCTTTATTTAATGATGATTTCAATTATAACACTAACTGGTGAGAAAGTTATGTTAAATAATCTTTAAAAGACTTCAAGTTAAAAGAAATGATTTACGGTCCATTATTACATTTTAAAGGCAGACACGCCCAGTGCCATTAGCATTCCAAGCTGCAGAATGGTGTTTATGTGCTGCCTCTTCTCTGATGGAGCTCAGTGGGTGGTGTGCTGTTTCCTCAGTGACCTGCTGTTTGCTTCACACCACAAGAAGAGTGGAGAAGGAATTTTGTCTGTACTATATGCGTGTTGTGTTTACAAAATCAAAGTTTTTAAAATGTTTAATAAGTAAAAAAACTTACAGCTTACACAAAGATTCTAAGCTGATCACTTGGAAGAAAAATCACCCATTTTTGTGCATAAAAAGTGTTAATAACTATATAAACCCATAAATAACTATCTAAACCTGTTTTTTTCATTGATTTTAAATGCAATGTCTAATTTAGGTATTGACACGCTATTGTTTCTTATTCTTGATTTTCATTAAAATTAAAAGAATCAGTTGTCCATTGTGTCATACAATATTGTTACATTTATGTTTTTGAGAGACTTCAGAACACTTCTACTGCTGCATAAAAATGTAGCATAATGCTAATTAATTTTACATCTGTGATCTGCTTTATTCAATCAAAGGTTTCTAAAACTGCAACCAGGTACTAGATATTGTTTAAAAAAAAACGTTACAATTTTCACAAATCGCAATCTTTAAAATGCCTGTGGTTTGAAGGCTCTGTATCATTTGTTGGTGGAGTTGTTGATATCTAAAGCACCCCGTCTCAAAAACAGGAGTATAAGAAATAAAAAGTTGTGAATACAGTGACAAATACAAACAGTTTGAAATTGTTATTAATAATTTAATATTTTTAATACTGATCAGTTATGTTATTATAGTTCTGTTGCAGTGGTGTTTTTAATATCGCTTTGTTATTCTCGATTGTAATTGTAATATATGGTATTTCGTTTTAAGACTTGTTGTAAAGGCTTGTCTTGAATTGCCCCATTGGGATGCAGTATTTTGAATTGAATTGAATTAAACCTGTTATTGTTACCTAAATTAAAACTGTTTTTTTTATTTAACTGTTTTCAATTTATTTATTGAACATTGCGATATACAAAAATAAAATAACATTTAATGTACATCATTTTCACTACTTTATTGTTTTTAAATAGTTTTTTTTTTGCAAGAAAAACACATGCCTTGACTGGGATTTGACCTTCCAGTTGATAGGCAAGCGCCTAATCCACTATATCAAACGGTCATTTGGAAAAAAATGCTGAAACAGTTTGAAATGTTTCCAAGATAATCATGAGGGAATGAGTCAAAGAAGTTGATGCAGAAGTTTACAAAGAAAGTGGAATATGATAATACTTTAAGCTATATAAATATATATAGATGCTTAAATATCGTTATTAATTTCTTTGGATACGCGATTCCATATTATATTCCCTATTAAGCGGATTCTGAAAAGTATACATTTTACTGCAATAACAAGGGCAAGTATTCATAAAAAAGTTAAAACATTATAACTTTTTAACTTTTATAAACTTAATATAGTCAGAAGGAGCACGTAATTTTTTTTCCAAAATAACCACAACAGTAAGTAACCAGTGAAAGACTTTGACGCTTAAAATGTTTATGAAGAAAGTGGAACACTGTAGTGTATTTTTTATTTCAACTACCACTACCAGCAATATACAGTATGTATAATATATTTATATTGCTAAATTAATATCGTTTATGACCTTCAAAGATTATATGCTCCTCTTATTTTTATGCTCAGCTATCAAAATTTCCCTTTAGTTGTAAAATTCCATATTAATATTCCATATTAAGTGGATTTAAATCTGCACAGTAAAGAGAAGCAATCATTTCACTAACACCTAATGCACCACAAGTGCCACCTGCCGGTCTTTTTGTCTAGCCAATCATGTACCGCAGTACGTCGCAGATTATTTGCCTGGGTACAGGGTTTTACCACGCATTTTGAATTGCTACATCTGGATATTTTATACTGTGTGTCCTGCAATGGACTGGCGTCCCATCCAGGGTTTACCTCGCCTACACTAGTTGCTTAATCTGTCCTGCATCGGATTATTTGAAAAAATAAAAATGCTGTAACATGCTGCTGCTTGTCTTGCTGTGGCATTTACTGAGGTATGATGCATGATATCTGACACATTCTAGACTGCTGCATTTGTAGGAAAAGGAATAGCAAAGAGGCTGGTAGACTCTGTAAAGGATTATAGAAACTAGTCTCATTGGTAATACCATCACCAGCACAAATGGGATATGTGAAATGTGAAAGAAGGTCAGTAATTATTTAAATTCACATTTGAACAGCCTCCTTAGTAACTTTAGCAGTAACCTCATGGTCTGTCCTCTACCATGGGGTAATTGAGGTAGTGCAGGAGATAAAGGGTTAGATTGAACTATAGGATATATACCTATGTCCTACCAGAGAAAACATGAAGCAGTACTTGGGGTGGCAGAAAGACAAAAGTAACAAACATCCTCTGGGAAGCAAAGCATCAGATGGTAATGATCAGAGATGCTGAAAGATTAGCAAATATCATATTACCAAAGATTACTTCATCCCCTTATTTTCATTAAGAAATATTGCTTTTGCAAGAATTAAGGAACACATAGGCTACAGAAAATATGTATTTTGCAGCAAATATGCTTTAACTCCAGTGTATTGTAAAACGTTCAGTTTTGTAGGTGTTATGCTGGGCTGTTATTTCTTAAAATAAGTGTGGGGATGAAAACGAGTTAAAATGCCATAACAGCTGCAGTAAATTAAATGGAAGGCTCTTAACTTATTTTGCTTGGTACAGTGTTTTGTTGTGGTATTTATCTACAAACATAAGGTAAAGGAAATAAAACACTATGTATACATATGAAGTAAAGTAGTTTTTTACATTAAAACTTAGACTGAACATTTTTTCAATATGATTATAAAGTCAGGAAAAGGAGAATTTTCAAACAAAAAAAATGTCTTACCTGGTGGATGGCCAACATAATTGTACTTTTGTAGGGCCTTGTAAAATGCCATTTTTGCTCTCGGGCCGCTTTCCAGAGCAGAATAAAGCACTCTCATTTTTTTCTGGTTGGTATTGGAAGCACAGAGGTTTGCATATGTCTCCTGATTAATTATTTTCTGTGTAAGCAGAATGTCTGCAATGGGCTCAACTTCGCATACCTTCTGAATGAGGGAAGCCCTATGACTGTCCACATAGTGAACAACTGCAGTGAAGAGAAAAGAAGAGAAAAAGGGACAAATATAACAAATATTTTGGTTAGAAGGTATTCCATTAAACCAGGCTTTGAAGTTAGCATTGTGTATTTAGATTTCTTGGCAAAACTATTCACCCACTCCAATCGTTTCCCATGTTTGTTAAATTAAATTAAATTAATTTGTTAAACTAAAAATAATCTAATAAACTCCTCCACTGTAAAATGTTCATTTTATATTCATTTTAAAAATTGTATACCTCATTTTGTAATACAGCAAAATGGGACATTATAAGAAGGGGGGTAAATAATTTTGGAAGGCAACGTATACAGATGCAGCCATTCAAAACGAGCGAGGTAGGCTGCAGTAAAACACAGTGGGCGTATCATGTCCCAACGCGTTATAACGCGCCATATCGCATCATACCGTAACATACCAAGTTTATGATAATAGCATCTTGAAAAACTGCCAGGTGGAGCTAAAAAAGCTTAACCTTTCATATACAGCATTTGAGCTGTCACCAGAAAATGCCTGGTTTCAAATCCTGGTCACTGCTTAAGAACAGTCTTTGTCCAATTAAGAATTTAAGTTGTATACTCTTTAGACTTTTAATAATTTTAAACTGTGTATTACAGCATGTTAATCATTAAACATAAAAAAGTCGGTATATTTTATAAAAGCAAGATTGCTCAACTAGACAAAAGTACACAACCTACCACCTTTATCATAAATATATTTATGCAGAAATATTTTATGCATCAAAGTCTTTACGAAAGATATTACTAATAGTATTAATAATGAATGACCTTGGACAGGCTGTAAACTCAAAGTATTACAGTGGTCCACTTTCTTTATAACCGTCTTTGTAAATAAAAATACTTTATTTTTAAAAAATAACACCACAGCATTTCATTGATCCAATCACATATTCGTTTCCAATCATACAAAGTAAGTTTTGAGAATCTCCGATTCACCATGCCTTTCACATGCTCATAAACTATATTAATTTAGGAACATAAACATATTATGTAAACTGTATATGGCTGGCATTGGTAGTATAAAGTATTCCACTTTCTTCCTAAACATTTAAGCATCATAGTCTTACATGTGTTTATTTTGGAAACATTTTTACGTGCTTCTTCTGATGATATTAAGTTCACATACTTTGTAAAAATCTATAATGTTTTAACCTTTTCTGCGAATACGCTCGTTATTGCAGTGAACAAAAACATGCTTTTAGAATTTGATTAATAGGGAATATAATATGGAATCGCATATCTAAATAAATTAATAACGGTATAATTATATTAATGTACTGTAGCTCAAATTATCACAGTAGTACACTTTCTTTGGATATTTCTGTTTCAGTTTCACTCCTCTCCATGTGATTATGTCTGTGCCTTATATGCCTGGGGGTGGCAGTTCAAGCCCAGCTGTTGCCATGAGTTTGCTTTTAACAAATAAACATTTCTTTAAAAAACTAAAATAGCAAATATTATGGAAACTATATTGACATTTTTTTAATTTCTAAATATCACAACATGTTCATAGCTGATTCATTTATTAATAACAACGAATAATTTCAAGCTGCTACTACTGTCATTATTACTGATAATAAATATTATCAACACTATATTGAATTTGTTGATATTTCTAAATATCACAAAACGTTCAAAGTTAAGTGATTACCATTTGCCATGAATACTTGTGCTCATTATCACAGTAAAAGAAACTCATACTTTTAAAATTATTTTAATAATTTAATTATTAGGGGATATAATATGAAATCATGTATCTAGAGAAATTAATAACAATATTAATTTAAGGATCTAAATATATCTATTTATATAGCTAGTATCATTACTGTATTCCACTTTCTTTGTAAACACGTTTAACACCCGAATCGCAGCAGGTGAGAAAGAGACAGAAAAAAGTTAATCCTGGTTTTTTATGGCCTGTAGCTCAAATCCTGCTTAGCTAAAAATTAGACACAAGAAAAGTATTATTGGACAATGTTGTGAGGTTCTGGCAGAATTTCTCTGTAAATAAAGAGTTAAAGAGGAGACACATTGTGCATCGCCTCTTTTTACACTTTAAAAAAGAACATTCCAATGTCAATGCGACACAGAAGATATTTTTAATAATGTAGCGCTTTCGGGCTCACTTGGGTTTGCGCCCTACACCCTGTGGGACCACTGTGTACATACGTTCACAATGCGAGAAATAGTGCGAACAACCCGCAACAACCCGGTGATATTTAGAAATATATATTGTAGTATTTTTGGGTTCGACAAGGACTAGCTCAGTGATTCAGAAATTTGTTGACTGAAAAGCTGCACTTTTATTTTTCGGCACAGCCAGCACAACCCCCATGCCCGAGCGCCAGCAGAGAGAGAGATGTACCCACTATTGATAAACATACAGAAAAGATTATTTAAGTATTAGCTACAACTAAAAAACAGCTACCAAAATTCCTTCCACCACAAAGCCCTGCTGAGCCAAGAGCTCAGCCCAAAACAGAGCCCCCTGAGCCAGCTGGTCCTGAGGCTCACTGGCCTGAGCAACACTGACACTAACCAGCTTCAGGACAGCACTGCTAGAGCACCACAAGTCAGACTCAAGCACATCACAGCACAGATCAAACAGCAATATCTCACATACTGGGACACACACACACAAACACAACATAAACTGGAATGCTACAGAACCCTAAACAGACAACACACACTAGCCGAATATTTGACCAAGATAAGAAACAACAAAAAGAAACAGA